ATTTAAATGTTGACCAGAAGATAGTGCCTTTATTTCAGTTGTAAAACATTCACCTTGACTAAATTTAATAAGTAGATTTAAAGCCTTGTTTATTTCTACTGTTTGCAACGTACCAGTGCATTTGTTATGTTTATTATGTATATTGCTTATAAATCTTAAAACGTACGCAAAAATTCTCTTCAGTCTGTTAAAATTTGAAAAATCTTTAAAGTTTATGAAATGATTTTCAGGGGCTTCAGCAGCGTTCATATACGCCTTAAGCTCTGGAAGCTCTACTATAGAGTGTGGAGTTTGTGGCCAGGAAGAAGAGCCTTCCTTCAAGAAGGAAGGTCCTTCCCACCACAAGGGCTCCACGAGCAAGCGTTGAGGGACAACCCCCCTAGAGGCCAGATCTGCAGGATTGAAATCAGTGGGAACATGTCGCCATGAACACCCTTTAGTTAATTCTAATACCTCAGCTACACGATTGGCAACAAAGGTTTTCAAAAGTTTAGGCTGAGCCTTAAGCCAACCCAGGACGACAGTTGAATCAGTCCACATAATAGTATTGGTGATAGAAATACGAATTGATTGAAGTACCTTTGCTACCAGTCGAGCACCAAGCAAAGCACTACACAATTCCAAGCGAGGGGTGGTCATGGCCTTCAGGGGCGCAACCCTCGACTTTGCGCACAATAACCTGATGACAATATTATTGCTACTATCCGTAGAACGTAGATAGACGCACGCTCCGTATGCTTCGTGCGATGCGTCTACAAAACAGTGTAATTCAACATTAGTAAAGAAATCATCACATAATGCATATCTTGGTATTTTAATATCTGACAATGTTTTAAGATTTTCTGCTATATCTAACCATTTTTTAGCTATGTGAGATGGCACTGGATCATCCCAGGCTAATTTCTCATTCCATAATAGTTGTAAAATTATTTTTGCTTTTATAACACAAGCACATAAAAGACCTAATGGATCAAATATCTTACAGGTAAGTGAAATTATAGAACGTTTTGTTATCTTATTATTATCACTACTTAAATCTGTACTAAAATGTAAAGTATCTGTATCTGGTGACCAATTCAAACCCAGAACAGACGATTCTTTATTTAATTCTAAAACTGAAGTTGTAGTGTCATTCTGAAATGCTTCAGGACAATTAGTTCTAATTTTATGTAGCGGAAAACCAGCTGAATTTAATACATTTTCTACACTACTATAAATATGCTTTATAGAATCCTTAGATTCGGCGCCTGTAGTCAGGTCGTCGATGTATACATCATGCTCTAAGATGTTAGATATGGTAGTGTCAGGACACTCACGAGCCAATTGAAGAATACATCTCGTGCTTAAGTAGGGCGCTGAGGCCGTGCCATAAGTAACGGTATTTAATTGGAGTACCTTAATTGGCCGTGGATGTCCTGACACAGAACCTGATCCTGCTTCATCATCCCTCCACAATATGAGCTGCAGATGGCGCTGACTGGGATCAATCTCAATTTGTCTGTACATCTTTTGAATGTCTCCAGTAATTACATATCTAAAGCATCGAAAACGAATTAGTATTGAAGTTAAATCATCTTGTAACACAGGTCCAATAAGCTGAATATCATTTAAAGATTTACCAGAAGTGGTTTTGGCTGAGGCATCAAAAACCACTCTGAGTTTTGTAGTTTCACTTTTTTCCTTTAAAACAGCATGATGTGGCAAATAATAACCAAAACTAGGTCTCTGTATTTCAGTTAAATGACCCAAGTCACGATACTCTTTAATAAAATTAAAATATTGTTCTTTTAGATTAGGATTTTTATTTAATTTATTCTCTAAAGATAAAAAACGCTTTTTGGCTAAATAAAAAGAATCTCCAAGAGCTTCTTCAGGAATTTCCTTCAGAGGCATCTTTACTGAAAATCTACCATTACTAAGGCGTTTGACATTTTCTTGAAAATGGGACTCGCACAACCTTTCTTCAGGTGTGCCAATATTAATCTTTAAATTTAATTCTTCAATTTCCCAAAATTTCTGTAAATTATCATTAATATTATGAGTATAATTACAAATAACATGGCCAGGTTTATAAATACCCACTGGCCCACTTACAAGCCAACCTAACTGTGATTCCTGAAGAACTGGTCTACCTACACCTAGAGTTATACGCTTGAACCCTACTAAATCCCAAAATATGTCAGCGCCCAACAGTAAATCAACTTCTGCGGGACAATAAAAATATGGGTCTGCAAGCTCAATATTGGGAGGTAAGTCTAGTTCTAGAATATTAACAGGAGAATTAGGCAAAGTACCTGTTACCTTAGGGACTACTAGACATGTTATCATAGTACTAAAATTTTTATTCCTTGATTCTATCCCTAAGGTGACACGTTCAGATATACTAAATGCAACATTATTAATGCCCGAGACACGGAGCGGTTCAATATTGTGAACAGGTAAGTTTAATTTTCTTTTCAGATTATCAGTCACAAAGGACGATTGGCTACCACTGTCCAACAACGCGCGAACAGGGTAAGTTTCATTATTAATCATATTTTTTACTGATACAACAGCAGTACACAGCAATACTTGACTACTATTAGAGATGCCAGACAGTGTAACTGGAGGCAGTGTCTGTGACTGTGAAGCAACTGTAGAATTAATATTTTCTAAGTGCTTATCATTTTTATTTAAATGCAACAAAGTATTATGACTATATTTACAATGACGACACATGGATTTCAGACGACAATTCTGAAAGTTATGACCTTCACGTAAACAATTATGACATACTTTTAATCGTTTAACTTCCGTTACCCTATGGGGAACATCCATATCTTTAAATTTTGGACAATCATAAATGCGATGTCCTTGTTTATTGCAACATAAACACACAAAGTCACATACAGTCTCACCTGATGCTACAGGACTCGAAATCTTTAAGTTATCAAATGATTTATTATTTTTTGAAACTGAATTATTATTATTCCAAAATTTTTTGTTATGATTATTTGAGTTAGAATTACTCGAACTTTCACTATGATTTGTTGTACGAGATACAGCATTCTCTAAAACATCAGCACGGTTACGGATAAACGTATAAAATTGATCTAAAGTTGGATTGTCAGAACAATTACTTAAATATTCCTCCCATTTCATATTTGTAGTGGCATCTAATTTCATAGTTATGATGAATATAATGTGGACATCCCAATATTCTGTGGGTATACCAAGGGCCTTAAGCGCTCTCATATTTTTATTAACATGATCCAATAAGTTCCGCAATGCTTTATGTGATTCTGTTGTGATGGGATTGATTAAATGTAATGATTTTAAATGACTATTAATGAGAACTCTCTTATTATCATACCTAGCACACAATAAATCCCATGCAATCTTATAATTTATTGATGTAAACTCTAATGACTTTATAACCTCACTAGCACTGCCCTCCAGTGAAGCCCGCAGGTAGTGAAACTTATTGATATCCTGTATTGATGCATTCTCATGAATTAAAGACAAATAAGTATCTCTAAACTCAAGCCACTTCAAATATGAGCCATCAAACACAGGCAATTTAATGGTTGGTAACTTAACTGAACTTTCATTAGATTGTGAGGGTAATTGTGATTTGACATTAACCGGATTTAACTTTTCTAAAATATCTTGTAAGGTTGAAATTGCTGTAATGAACTGATTCTCTATTGTAGATCTAGTATTTATCTGTTCTTGTATTTCAGATTCATCACAAAGTAATTCTATTTTGTCTTGAAAGGTCTCAAAATCTTTATATAAGGTTTCACACTTTTTTAAATGTAATTTAATTTCAATAACTTGTGCATTTGATAAACTAGAGAAATCCACTAACTTGAGAGTGTTTATGTATTGTGTTTGCGTCGTCAAACGACCTCTTATATTTCCACGTTGCCTAACCAATGTACTTAGTTCAGTACTTTTAGAAGTAGACATCTTTAAATTTAATCACTCACAACAAATATTAACAAAGAAATATAATGAACTAGGTAAATAAATTGTGCATCTAACCCAATTATTGTTCCTTACTCCAGTCGCAGTGTGTAGCACAGGAAAGTCACCGCCTTATTGCAGACTGCACGGCGTCCCAGTAGTGCTCAAACCTGGCGCGGCGTAGATGGATACTACATGCAGCACAGGCGCACTTCTCTCATGCAATGCAAAACGGGCTGGATATTTATGCCCACAGCCGCGCCAAGCATACGAATCTGGAAACGTTCGGCAAATCTTATGAAGCAAAGCTAAGCAAAGCAAGCTAGAAAATGGTGCAAATAAGGACGGCTAAAATTTACAGTGAAAACAAAGAAACCCCCATGTGCATAATATGCAAGAAGTAGGCAAACCCATGCCGCGTGTCACACACACCAGAAAATAAGAATGCTCAGCCGAGTGGCATGAAAAATAAATGTAGGAAGAACGGGCGGCAGGGTATCAAGGCAGCAAAATATTAGTTTTAACTAGGTACTAGTGCCTATCACAGTTAAGGCTTAAATTATCGACTTGAAAGTACCCAAGTTAGGCCATATATTAAAATTTTAATAAGAAAAAATTACTTGAAAATGACCAACCTTTCTAATCATGACGAACTAAAATGAAATTTAATTTTATATAGAAACATACAAATGGCGGACGACGAATTTTTAGAAAATTAAATCAAATGAATTGACTACATTACTTTCACCCGATAGCGGACAGTTAAAGGAGGAGGAAAAACGAGCACTTCCCATGGTGGCTAGGTATCCTTACTAGCAGCTCGCAGGTGGACTTGTCTTCTTTCCAAATAATATATGTATAGTCGTAGTCGTCGTTTGTTTTAGGCGTTCGCGTTGGCCGCCATGTTGCGCTGACACCAAACTCCTTTTGGTTTTTGTAGTTTATCCGAAGATTGCAGTTCTTCTTTTTGCACGGTCGCCAGATGATCGATATAAATAAGTAGATCCCTTTGCAGATGTACTTCTTTAATCGCTAATTATAATATAAGTTTACAATAATTGAGTGTGTTTTCGTCGCGACTATTAGAATGGCAGTGGCCGGAAGGCGCGCAGCTCGAACCTCTCGCTCGCGCTACGGATGCGTTCCATAAACGACGAAGAATGATGCGTTCCGGCGTAGACACCGAGGTTTTGCAGATCATTAAACATCCTCTTTATAATCCGTAAGGTTTTTTTTGTAATTTTCTGAAGTGATGATAAGAAATAATCGTCAGACTTCATCTTTTCGTTTCATTCATGATTAATGATCCTGACCCATTTATAATAATTTGTTAGTAAAAACAATTCATAATCACTTTACAATGAACACTTATTTCAAAATTTCTCGGAACAAAACATCGGTGATATCTCCTTGAATCGTAATCGCCTTGAACCCATTAAAACCAAATCCAATATAGAAGTGCAAAGCTAACGAAGCAGCGGGGCGGATTACGATTGAATAAATCCGCGTCATCGTTACAACAGAGAGCGAGCGTTCAATCACGTTGTATGGTTTCAGGATCACGCGAGCGCATGACGTGGCTATGCTGCGGATCGCACTACATCTCAGTGACATCACCTGGCTGTCCCACTCCCTGCTGCCCACATTCACCTTCGGACTATCAGGTTCAGACACGGAGTTCTAATCAAATTGCGACGCACATAGATTTATAACAATGTACAATCGATGGCGTAACAAGTAGTACATCGCGCAAGTGAAGTTCGCGCGCTTATAAACATGTATAGCAAATTTCAACGTAAAATTTTTGGGTAATAGCCGGCCAGGCACGATCCTCTTGTTGCGATCTTAGGGAACTTTACTCTCGGTTCCCTAAAAATGCGTTGTAGTTATAAGCTTTTTGTTTTATAACGTGGACCACTTTGCAGGGGAATGTACAATATACGGTTACGGCTACAAGGAAGTGGACGCAGGGATTACGTCAGAGCGGCTATCAGCTGGTACACTGCGCATAGTCTCCTTGGACGAGTGCACGGCGGCTCTGGGCCCGTACGCCGCACCTCGACACGACAGCGGCATGATGTGCGCTGTTGGCGATGGCGTCGACGCCTGCCAGGTACCATTAACTAAATAAATTGATTCAATTCATTCTCATTTACGCTTCTAATTTTACCATCCTTTACCAGCATTGCAGTATCTCAATTTAATTACCTACGTATTAATACTGGGACGAATGAACGATAAACAATTTATTTAAGTAGATAGGTTTTTACCGTCGAATACCTACAACAGATATGCATGTAGATAGTATGTTATTATCTACAAAATAATTAGCTGTAAGCAACTGTAGATACCTAACAGGGATTTATATAACTTTTTGCTGTGTAGATTAATTATTTCTGTCTAGACTATGCAAAATGCCCTCGCCTCGCCGTACCGTCGCGAATGGCAACGAAAGAACATTAACGTATTGACGAGCGGGCGAAGGTTTGAAAATTAGAAAACCCAACAGCATTGTAGATAACTTCTGTCGACGTAACCCTACTTTTGTTATTTTGTAGCGTTACCAAGGAGAATTTATTTACCAATCGAGCCAGCCAAATGGTTTGGGACGGTAGAATTAGCCAGCAGTGAATCCCAAGAATAAGTAGGTACCTAGGTACCTACTCCAATGAATTTGGATTTGTCGTTTACAATGACATTGAACTTGTGTTTATTAACTCTATTACTTTAATTTATTAGATTAATTGCCTCCACTTAATTATTTTGTTATAGGGTGATTCTGGTGGGCCACTGTTTTGCTCTGGCAGTATCCAGGCGGTGAGCAGTCATGGCATCAGCTGTGCCGTGCCTGGTCTCCCAGCAGTCTACACCAGCGTCGGACCCCATCTGCAATGGATACGAGAACTAATGCGGGATGATTGATTCTAGAGATTAAACGCAGATATGGATTTTTTTTTGTATTTAAAGCTAACCATCTATGTTGACCAAGCACCGTGTTTATCACAGGACATATGCAACACACCATCACCATCATCATCATTATCAACCTCTAAGGGCCCACTGCTAAGCAAAAACCTCTTTTCACGGAGAAAATTTGAGCATTAACCATCATGCTTAGGTACTCAAGGCGGATTGGCGATTTCAAACTTATAATATTAGGTACCTAGCTACCTATAAGCAATTAAAGTATAAGGGATTTGGGGATTGAGGATGGGGAGGCGAAAGATTGAGCCTCCGATAACCTCACTCACACACAACTTTAATGTAGCTTTACGCTTTCTGTGAGGTTGTGGTATCACTCTGATAGGGTCGGCTTATTCGTGCCGAAGCATATGGCTCTCCCACACTAAAACATTCCTTCACCGTATGTCAGTGATTTCTAAATAATCTCAGAAAGTACATACATATGACATTGGTAAGTAAGTACTTGCCAGCATACACGAGAAGTGGATGACAACAGCACACCATAAACTTATAGAATTCAGCTCCTTGCATTCAACCACAACCAGCCAATTTTCTGATTATACTCTATCTTGCTGGTGTGTCCCAATAAAGTCTAAGTCGTGGAACTCACTTAAAAAGAAGGCCAGGCTAATGGTATAGGTACCATAACAGAGGCCAGCCAATTATTGTCCATTTGGATTAGCAGAGTTATCCTTCTCCTGTCTCCTACTAAACCCAATTAAGTAGGTACCTACATACAATAGTTGACTTATAACTAAATAGCTGAAGATAATTTGCAATACGTAACAAAATATCGCAGCTAACACTGTTTTAATGGTTTGCCTCAATAAATTTTGTGGTTGTCACCTGATAGTTGTTGACCGCAATGTGTCGACTAAATTGCATTAAATGTGGTAGATATTGTAGGTACAGAATCACTGATTCACTCAATTCGAAATAAATTAATTTTATTTTAAAATTAGCACCTACGTGGGAAATCATCCATAAATAATACACCTAAATTCTGTTATTAGGAACACTTTCTCACATTTTTTATTATTCAGAATTACTTAGATTTTACCTATGTTCTCGCTAGCCAGTCGATTAAAGTACTTAATCGCACCCAGGGCGAGATTTAGACATTTGATTGATAATAAGTATGCTTCGCAAAAATTTGTACCAACGGGCGTGGCTTCTAAGAAGTGAACGCAGGAATTATTATAACAACGGCATTACCAGCGTTTAGCTGGTTGTGCTTGCGATCATACATAGATAATAGTTTGACCTCTCGTCTGCTGGAATATGAGACACAATACACATTGTGTCTCGCGTAAATCTGCGTAATATCACGGGTTAATTTAATTTTAATCCTTGTCTTCTATGGCATTATACCACAGCAACTAAATTTTCCCTAGTTGATTTTCTTTTTCAGATTCTCTTTAGATAAAACACTCGTTGTAGACTAATGTGATTTAAAATCGATACGATGATTAGATACAATGACAGGAAACTATATTGTGATTAGCAATTTCAATGAAACCAATATAATCGATAAACAATCATTATATTTGATTGACAACGTCGTACATTAAACATTTAGCGATAAGTTACATTTAAACATAACTTGCAAACTTAGTAATATTTATAGCCGTTTATCAATTTGTGACTTAACAATTCCAATTATGTACAACGATAAATATTTATGATAATTTACGGACGCCATAATTACAATACAGTTTTCGAGGTTTAAAACATTCATAAGAATTCATAGTAGAAAATAATTATACTAGGGTCGAGCTAACAAGCATTAAACGTAGCTCACTATAGAAAAAACTCTACAACACAAGACTAAAATACACCTACAGGCCAGCCAACGACAAATAATGACCCCTTGATTTGATTATTGATATAAAAATATCGAGGTTTTACCATAATGAGTCTAAGTTAGCGACATTTTAAATTAAGAACAATTTATTTATTTTAAATTAGTAACATCGGACGCAACTGCAATTGCAGTTGACTGGCCGAAAACAACTTAATCCGTACCAAAGTTTTGTACTTATAACATCATAGGAAAAAAAAATGTTCACTTACAAGCAAGCATTTACTACTTAGGATAAATAAATGTATTTGTTCATTGTTCAAGCTCAACTTGTTATTATTTTAAGATCTATTTTTAAATTTTACGTAGAGACATACATATTTTTCTCAATACAGAAACATTACTGGCTAGCAAGGGAAGTAATGCTTCAGTATTGGGCTCATTAACATTTATATAGAAACCACAATATATTTCCGAGGACTTTGGTCAATAGTTTACATTTCTACAACAAACGGTATAATATATATTGCACCTATCACACCCATACACTACAATACCGTTTATATTCATTTCGTATCCTTAGACATAACTATGATATTATTCCAGTTTATTCGACATACCCGTTTCCTTTCAAATTCTGTAGATAATTCGACATTACTTAAATACAACCATTTTCTAAAGGCCTTGTTCAAAGGTAACTAACACACAATAAAGACAACATACTAATAAAATCTACAACATCAAACATAAAGTTATCTAAAACATATACTAACATACATAGATACATAAAAACTAGAAAATATTTAAAGAATGTTATATAGGAATAAGTTCCCCTTTGGGGTTCAGACAGTCAGATTAGAAGTCACTAAAGCGATATAAAAGTCGTCGAAATATCGAAATATTTTAATTCACATACATATGGAGGCTGAAGTCTTTCCACAATTATGTATTTGTACAAACAAATAATATACTTACATAATATGGTTATGGTGGGAACATTCCCACATGTTTAATGTCAATCTCAAAAATACTTCTGGGAATAATAATAAGACAGCCTATATAATATGTATTAGAAACATTACAACATACAATTATGATTATAAATAGAAGTCGTCCATTATTCGAGTATAATGACCCAATAAAATTTCGCTATGTACTTGAGAGGCACCCTAAATTAATCTTCTGGTCGATCTCTATCAAATTTTACTCATTCGCTCGCCGATGCTATTCTGCATGCCATTCTGACATCAAGCAGGGTTAAACTATAACAACTCCTTGAAATAGAGCATTCCCTTGGTAAGGTTTCTTTAAATAATACAGCCTAATTAACACCATTTCTACAATGAGTATAACTTACAAATAAAATTACTAGGAACAGAATTGCATATTATTATTATTAATTATGAAATCATAAGGAAAGACGGTAGTGGAAGATATAACTCCGAAGGCAATAGGTGAACACATCAATTCGACAAAATCAAACCCTGTCGAGACAGCAAGATGAGATCAAATTCACTTCCTTTTACTGAAGGGCTTGACACTAGGAGCATGGTGATTTGGCCATTACTAAGCTAGACTAAACTATGTTCTATCAAACCAAACTTCGATGTGTGATTAAATAATGCATAACAGAGACAGGTGTAGACTAAACACACATAAAACTAAATAAATAGCTAGGATTCAAGCCCTTCTCTTTGATTAGGACCAACTTAGGACCAGTTGAACCACGACCGGCCTTCAGCTGTAGGAGTGCTTGTCGTACTCTTCGGCGTCTTAGGACTCTTTGGTGTTTGTGGTTTGGAAGAATCCGAATTCTTATCCTCGTTAGATCCTTCAACACTCTCTATGGTCGATTTCAACTGGAAAAATATTTTTAATCATGTTATTCAAGTTATAACATAGGTAGTTGTAGTAATCACAAGTTTCCTAATAAACCTTATCTAGTCGAAATTGATAGGATATTTATTTATTTATTTATTTATTTATTTATTTATTTATTTATTTTCCAAAACTTAGACTATTTTTACAGGTTTTGTACCCAATGCAATAGCCTAGCTTATATGCCTAAACAATAATTTCTACATATCCTTACTTGACTACAGTTTTATAACATATAACAAATTTTGAATATGTCTGATAACACAACAGAACATACCTTTATATTAGTTTTTGCTTGCATTTCACGTTCGTATTCCCGCACGTCTTCTATGGTCATGTTGAACCAGTCATCCATCCAAGCAAACGCCTGGCGATGTCCTAACAATAGTATTTCTCGAATAGCCTGTAACATTGAATTGAAATAAATGAATTTATTAAAAACAAAACTTCCAGAAACTCTCTATATTTATTTCTACAAATTGGAAGCGTTAAACACGCACAGCGAGCGAATGTTCTATTAATATCCAGAATAAACTTACTCCTTGGACATACTCCTCCACTTTAGTCTGCAGGCCCCACACCTCAAATTTGACGCTCACAGCTTTGTAGCAGCACATGATGGGCTGGTGAGTCTCCCTCCATCCTTCCACAAGGGGACCTCTACCAGTCTTCTGTGATTTGAAGAACTTGGGATCTTCTGCCTCTTTATAATGATGTGGCTTGATCTCATCATAAGCAATATCTAGGAAATCAACTTCCCTTTGTTCCAATTCTTCTGGTGTCATCCCCAAACACTAAAAATTAAAAGTATTGTCATGGGAACTCTTTTATAGTATCCTAATTTTATTTTCACACCACAAACTTACATTCTCTGTAGTCCCATTATTATCCTCATATCTTGTTTGGATTGAGATAGCAAACTTTGGAATAAATGAACACTGAAAAATAAGGAAAACCACATCATTAATATCATTATTATTACTTAGGAAGTAAAATTTGTTCATTAAACACAAAAATTACTTACAGTGTATTCTGGGTCAACCAGCAACATGAAAAGTAAAAAACTCTATTAACAATTATTAAAGTAAAGACTTAAAGACAGTGTTTTTAGATAGAATCAAGGAAATTCAGTATGAAATTTATTAGTTGATCTCTTCAATTCAATTCAATGGTAACATATTTTAGATAATATGTAAAGGAAAACTGTACAACAAAACATAATAGGACATCCTTCTATGGCTACAGGAAATCAATACATTGAAAGGACAACCACAAGTAAATTATTCTGATTATCAAAGTAGAAAGATAGTAATTATTATTTTATAATAGTTGATGTTTGTTTATATAATAACTTTATTTACCTGTGATAGTGTATGGATAATAATTCCATGCTTTTTCAGTGACATAAAAGATTTTTGGTATCAGGGACTGGACCCAGTACGGCAAGTGACTGTTTAACAAGGAAAACATAGACACTTAAAAATCAAATAAGATACTATTATTATAAATGTTATAGTGTTATTTATGACCAGTATGGTACACATACATTCCAATAAAAATTAAATGTTATCACAAAAATTAATAAGACATAGGACCCTAAAGCTATAGAGCAACAGTTTTCCTTTTTTTTCATTTTAATCTATATTTGATTATAGAATGTAATATGTAGGAAATATTATTATGTGCAACAAAAACTTTATCAAGTTGGGGAAACCGGTGTTGTAGAAACTATAGGGAATGGCTATTTTAAATACAAATGTTTCCTGTACCGCTATCAGTCAACATATCAATTTTTTTAACAAATACTGTGACATATTTTGATATTTCTTACATAGCATTTCAAAGATTAGATAAAAATAACAGGAATATGAGGGGACATAACGTTGGAATGAAAAATCTAGGTCACATAAGATTTAAATCCAAGTGAACTATTTGGACAAAATATCATTTAGGTCTCAACCAGGTAGAAAGATTAATTTTCCACCAATATGATGAAGACAAAGATAGGCTAATTTGAATTAAATTTAATTAATAATCAAACATACCTAGATAGGTGGATTCTCTTCTCAGTATATTGTCCCACTCCATTGACCTCATCAGTGACCTGCTCATTGGCCACTACTTCCACCCCTTCCCCATTGCTGGACTGTTCATAGCTGTGCCTAGCTATCATGTATAGCTGACCAATACGGTACTATAAAAAACAAAGATAAAGATACACATGTTTCCAATCATTCCTGCTGTCTAGACTGTGTTTACATAATTATGAACTTAAACCTCACTTATGTACCAAGTACCTAATTAAAGATAAGATGTGATTAATTAAAACGATAAGCTGTATGTGCATTTATGAACTATTTTGTACAGAAACTGACGAAAATCTCAATACCAGTCTAAAATCTCCACCCATACATAACCATTATTAAGGCTACGCCTGTAAATCAAGGCCTGTTAGGTATTTCCAAGGCCGCTTTTGTCGTAAATAATACATATATAACCATCCAATGTAAGACAATAGCCTGCAAATCTGAGTGGTAAAAATTAAGTGAAAACTAACATAAAACAAGTAAACTCAAAATAATGTGTTTAACATCCGTAAAATATATAATTATATACAATATAGGCAGCGTGTTGATATAAAACAATTAAAATATTTTACAAAATACGAATCCTGCGTATCATAAAAACAAAGCACTTAATAGATACCTCTTCGACGGTCATCGGCATGCATATTCTGAATTCCTTGGTTAAAACCATTTTCTTAATTAGATTTAATAAATAGGACACAAATTGGCTTCACGATAATTCACAATTTCAAGCTACAAGCTCGCACAAATCACAATCTTCAGTAATCTTCAGATTTGACTTAAATTGACAATCTTGACATGCGACATTTGATTTGTGATCATAGACTAAAATAATATAGAAAACACCAACACAAAAAATATATTAGGTATCTACTAAAAAATGGGAATTGGGAATACAAATAACTGGAAGTTTTTAAATCAATTATAAAACATTGCAGTCACAGCAGTTTCAAAAAAAACATGATTAGTCGACAGGATGTAAATTCCGCGTCCGTTAGCCCATTTCACAAAACGATAAGTCCAATATCTGCTTAGTATTTGTTTGGATAGCATTCAGGATCAATAAAAAATAAGGGGTGTAGAAGATTTATGCAATCATTGCTCTTATCTAGCTCATAGTCAACAATAAAATTGACTAATGTATGACAATGTCACACAAGTTCTAAGTCTGACATTTCTATGACAGATTGTAAGTTGACAATTTTGATATCAACAAAGTTAAGAGTGCAAGTGAAAACGTCACGATAAATCAATAAAGAAGAAATTTGTTGAACAATTTAACTATCTCTAGTGAAAATAAAAGAAAACGGTTTAATAATTCAACATCATTAGAAGCGTAACTACCATCGGTGCTGTGTTGTGTTAATAACTTTTCATAAATACCTCAATAAAATGGATCCAAAGGATGTCGTCGAACATTTAGTTGCATTGAAAGTAATGCGGCTAACAAAACCTGCTTTAATAAGTCCTAAAATAGTAACTTGCGATTCTAAAGATTTGCCTGGAAATATTTTAAACAATTACCTTAAAGACGATGCTACTTCAGTTACCCAAATGGAAACACTTGCGGCTGGTCAGTTCTTACTACTTCCACAAAGCTTTGGGAATATATATCTAGGTGAAACATTTTCATGTTACGTTTGCGTCCATAATGAAACCAACAATCCTGTTCAAAGTGTCTCCATTAAAGCTGACTTACAGACAAACTCACAAAGAATATTATTAACAACACAGCAGAACCTGTCACCAACAATGCTTGATGTAGATGAAACACTAAGTGATGTGATACACCATGAAGTTAAGGACCTTGGCACACACATTCTCGTCTGTGAAGTGACATACATGTCTAACTACAATACATTGGCTTCATTCAGAAAGTTCTTCAAGTTCGAAGTGATGAAACCATTAGATGTGAAAACAAAATTTTACAATGCTGAGTCTGATGATGTTTACCTTGAAGCTCAAGTGCAAAATATAACTTCTGGTCCTATCATATTAGAGCAGGTGTCTTTGGAGAGCTCTCAACAATTTAATGTTAAATCTTTGAATGAATTCAATGATGGCATGTCCGTGTTTGGTGATGTAACTTTACTTCAGCCTCAGGAGAGCTGTCAGTACCTGTATTGTTTAACTCCTAGAGAGAACATTTCAAAGGAAATAAAGCTTCTGGCAGCTGCAAAAAATATTGGAAAGCTTGATATTGTGTGGAGATCTAATTTAGGTGAAAAGGGGCGGTTACAAACAAGTCAGTTACAGAGAATGACACCAGACTATGGAGATATACGGCTCACATTTGAAAAGTTACCAAGTAAAGTCTCTGTGGAAGAGCCTTTTGATTTCCAATGCAAAATTGTGAATGCTAGTGAAAGGACATTAGATTTAATTTTAAAATTGAGATCTCTACAAGATTCTAGCCTACTCTGGTGTGGCATTTCAAACAAGAAGCTGGGGCCACTAGAACCTGGACAATCTTTGTACATCAACCTCACAGCTTTGCCTATTAATACTGGACTGTGTAATATATCTGGAGTATCTTTGCTAGATTTATTCCTTAAAAGAACCTATGATTATGATGATTTAGCATCTGTGTTTGTTTATTAATATTACATTATTAAATTTAATAAATCATACTTATTTTAATCTGAATTTTAAATTCTTTGTTTTTTTATCACAATCTTTTGAAAACTTTATAAAAGATATGCAGCTACCTCTGTACGCTGGTTCTGATCGAATGAACGATAGGCGCGCGCGAGCGCCCCAACCTCCAGATGCCGGAGGTGACCCGGCAAGGAGGTTCACTGCCTCCCTGGAGGTCATGCGATAACCGCGCGGACAACCATATCCTCTAGGACGCAACTGGCCGCCGCCTGTAGTCAGGTCACGTACACAGGGGCCACGTAGAGGGCCACGGATCGCACGATTTCCTTACATGTACAACCCCTCCGGCAGGGGAAGCGTTTGGCCCATCAGGTTGGGAAAGAGTAGCTTGAACGCGGCGCAGTTGATTGATGATTCATGATTTTTCAAACTGAGACACCACTACATCACTTAGGACAAGATTAGAATATTTTTATGGGCATGGAATGGGATTATATGTAGTCACTAGCTACTCTCGCGCGGTTTCACCCGCTGCTCGGCTCCATTTAATCGTAGCATGATGTTTTATAGCCTATAGCACTCAGAAACATTGTAGCTATCTATCAGTGAAAGAATTTTGGCAAACCGACCAGCGGTTCCAAAGATGACCCTCTACATACAAACTTATGTAGTCCCAAAGAGTAAAGTAATAAAGGAGGAGTGCGGATCTATTGATGTAGGTAACAAAATCTTCGTTTCATTTTATTGCCATAAAAAAAAATGTTTTGTGTAAATAGATTGTCAACTGTCACAACTGTCAATAACTAATCTTTGTTTCTGTCAAATTTTGCTAGATATTTGTAGATTTTACGATAATTCAAGTGTTTCTCGTTTAATTTAAGAGCGGATGATTGTACAATAATAATATCTTTAAGTCCTTCAATTGTACACATTTGAAATATAAATGAAGATTTCTTCGCAATTCACCTAACTGTAATCAACACATCCTATTGTGGACAAATTATTTGATTCTGATGTGGCCCAATCATGTCGAGTCGAACTGTGACTTCGTTATCTTAGTTATTTTTCTGTTTTATGTTAAAGTGTAGTGGTAAACCAAAGTCAGAACTGTAAAATGGCGTATCAAACGCTACTCCAAGAATATATGCTCATACCCCCAGTCACTAGAGCATATACCACAGCTTGTGTTGTCACTACATTGGCTGTTGTAAGTTTCGTTTTCTTTTATTTAATTTTACGTGTCACATGCTGAGTCATTACTATATTTTGCTTGTAAATGTCATATGATTGTGTACATACATTGTAAACACTTTTCTGTTTCAGCAACTGGATCTAGTGTCACCATTTCAATTATATTTCAACCCTAATCTTATATTAAGAAAATACCAACTATGGAGGCTAATAAGTACATTTCTCTTCTTTGGAAATTTAGGATTCAACTTTTTCTTCAATATGATATTCACCTACAGATATTGTAGGATGCTTGAAGAGGGCTCATTCAGAGGAAGAACTGCAGATTTTGTTGTTATGTTTGTGTTTGGAGGAGTCCTCATGATTGTATCCTTTTTATTACATATTACACCTTTTTGGACTTGTTTTGCCAGGTTCTAATTAAGGAATTTTCTCAACTAGGAAGAGAAGACACTGATAAACACTTGCATAAGTTGCATTACAAATGATTTAACAATGGAGATAATGTTATTAAGTAGATAGCAGTGATGTAATAGTTGGCTGTGAGACTGAGCCAGCATTGCCAATTTAAATAAAGGATGACTGCTTGCCAAAGTTTATAATTTCCTTAACAATTTATAACAGATAGGTGCTTTCTTCGTGAATTTATTATTTTTAGGACAAGCATTTACTATTATGATTGTGTATGTTTGGTCTCGTAGAAATGTCTTTGTGAGAATGAACTTCTTTGGCCTGATGAACTTTCAGGTACTGTATTACACAAGTAATATGTGTTACTAAATATATATTTTATTATTCTTTTAATGAATTATATTATTATTTTAGGCACCTTACCTTCCTTGGGTGTTACTGGGCTTCTCAGTTTTACTTGGCAATGCAATATCGGTAGACTTAGTTGGAATGGCTATAGGTCACATATATTTTTTCATGGAAGATGTACTGCCAAGGCAAAATGGAGGTCAAAAAATATTGAAGACACCAAAGTTTTTGTGAGTACAAAAACTTAGTCTGCTAAAATTATCCGCACATTATAAACATGTATGTTGTGATATAATCTCTTGGTCAATTTCAGGAAAAAGCTGTTTGATCCTGCCCCAGAACCAGATTATGGCCCACTCCCAGATCTTGATCACCTTAGACCAGGTGGATTTGACTGGCGTCGTCGTAATGACGAAGATGAAGCCAGATAAACTAGAATTGGCTAAAACTTCATATATAATGAAATGAATACGCCAAAATATTTATTTAAGAATGTTTCAGAATTTCTTCTCTTTGTCTATTATTTATGTTTTACTTATAAATTTTCTTCTAAACGATTCTGTAGAAGAAGCAAATGACTTTTTTCAAAAGATATATTTTTATATTCCTTAAAATGTAGGTACTATGTGAAATCTATTTTCTGTTTTTAATTATATTAATTTATATTCCGAGATTTCAGGCGCCAATTCTGTAGTATTAGCTTAATGTATCAGTTTGTAACAGAAGGGAGAATAATGCTGATGTCAACATTATTTCATTTATTTCTTTAATATTCTTATACATGTCCACATGATGAAATTAAGGCGAAAGACGAAGAGTATAATTATTTATAGACGAGAAGTATTTTCATTAAATTTTCTCGATTAAAACACCATTAAATTTATTTGAAATCTGAGCTTCATGTCAGAATGTACTATAGATGGCGCACTTGTTTCTGGGTAACGGTGATAGTCTGTATGTAGACTGGTACAAAGTAAATGTTAACGTGATTACATTTACGTCATAGTGGTGAATCGATAATGTATTTTGTGTAAAAAAGTTTATTCATAAGGGTCTGTTAATAGTGAATACAAACTATTCATAAATATCAACTGTTTTATTGAGTAAAATATCTAAATAATTCCCTCTCTTTATTGTTTCAACATTCGAAACATGATGAATGATGATGACACACAAGTTGATGTCATAAATATTATGGAAGCTAAAATTATTCTTTGACTTATGTAAAATGAACAAATATCACGTATTAGTAGTTACTATTACTTACATAAGTTACATTCAGAATCAAACTAAGGGATCAAGAATATAAGGGTCAGAAGGTTTTATTAGGATAGGTATTGGATAAAAATCAAAGAATAGATCGTAATCAGAATTGTTTATTCTATGTTCACGCAATATCATGGTGAATTTTAATAACACAATTAGTTGATAAGTCCGAGCAAATAAGTAATGATAAGCGTTTGATCAATGACTACTTACAGCCAATAAATACATTCGACATACTTTTTACAATGCGCTAATTTTTAGATACTGTTTCACTACTGATTTATATATCTACAAATTGTATGTCACGGCTAATCCGGCACACCGATTTAGTATCTCAAAGACCTGTCACAGGTCTCGACAATGTTGAACATGGAGGTCGCAGCTAAAACGAAACTTACATTGGAGACAACATCAATACAATGAACTATGTCACGTCCATAAGAAAATGCCAACTTTGTTCTCAATGATTGCGACTTGTTGACAAAGCTGATTATTTTTAAACTTTTATATTGGTTAGTTTCGTTTTACCCGTCAAGTAATATAGATATTTTATTAATATAAATAGTCAAATGCAATTTATATATTATTGTTTATAGGATAACGATTGCAGCCACAGATAACTATGATTTCTTTATTAGGTACTTTAGCATCCAAATCGAAGTATAAGCTGCGACAATGTTTCAAATAACTGTTTGAAAAATAATTACACAAACAAATAAATACACATATAATTTACATAAAAATTTATAAAAAGAACATATAGTGTCGTAGTGTAGAACCGTTAGTTGCGATAGTTTCAAATATAGTTTCGTAACAATATTAAAACTACTAGTAACAACAAGAACAGTAAATCTAGTTGTATTCAGTCTTCATTCAAACTCACACTCAATTCCAAGACACAGTTGATTGACAAATCAATTATTTATAAGGACATACTCATCGACTTTGAAATCACACAATTTTAACACTATTTTTTACAATTGGGTCAACAAAAACAAAATATAAAAGGCGGCATGATATCTCTTTCATGTAAATACGATTTGTTCTCACATACTTACTCATTTAGAGGTAATATAAAATCACAATGTTATCATTACACAATGCATTGACCTGCACACTCTGACTTTTCAGTGTTCTTATAAACGGGCGGCGTAGTGTACATTATAGATTACCCTGCAACATTAAAATAACTTTATTTTTTGCGAGGTCTGAACAAATATTTATACCAAGTATTTTTCGCTCGCACTCCGTTACATTTTAATTACCTTCATCATAAACATGCGTATATACATTACATCGCTTATAAGAACGTCTTAAAAGTCGGTCTAGTATGTAGATACTCTATCAAATTGTTGGATCTGTGTGTAATCATAACACAATAGATAGCAAAAAGTGGGTCTGTTGTTTCAAAGATTGGTAATGTCGGTCACGGATAACTTTCGCTGACCCAATTACACACTCAGAATTCACTCAAATCTTACAGCAAGTAAACTGCAATTCGTTTTCAGCACTACAACAACATCAAGCAGCTTCATCTATCTAAATCACAATAATTTAGAAGCACAACAGTCAGATCGTGACGTCACAGCGTGATATCTCTGAATAAACAATTCTATTTGAAAACTAACATAGGTAGACCATATCAAGTTTAGGAGGTGACCTATTGACGACTACACGGACTGCTCCTGTACATTACTATAAAACATACAAACAACTTTTGAGATCACACAGAAACATCTATTTAACCAAAGGTATAGTACAAAATTATTTACACATTACTATGCACAATGTAACAATTAAAGGACAAATATACATATAAAACAGATTAGAAACACATCAGGTTCCCAATAAATCGCATTGAATCAAATGAAATGGGCACCTCCTTCACTTTTAACCAAAACATCCAAAAATAATTTTTACAGATCAGTTACAAAAAAAGGTTCCAAACTTCATTTTTGGCTTCGTTGTTTATCACTAATATTCAACTAAATTTTGTAGTTATCTTGAACAAAATAATGTACCTAGAATCTAGCTACATAAATCACATATGGACATTTTCATAGCGCTACGATAGCAAGTAGCACCGTTATGTCGTCCGGTTTCCCCCCTGTAAACAAACACAAGTCGTATTAACACACGTTTGGGTGATGACATTGAATTTATTAATTACATTGTTACGACCTATCATCATTCTATTGTTTAAAACGGCTTCCATAAATAAAGACAGCAATGTTTCCATTTTACAGCCAAAATCGAGAATATTGTATACTACTCAATACAATGGACTAATGTTTCATAAAATGACTTAACTACTCATTTTAAGAGACAATTTAATAACATCATGCATCACCCACCCAAGAAGGCGTAATGGGCTCACCTCCTATTACAAGAAACTCAGAAAATAAGTGGGTGTATATAGACTACTATTTGCCTTTTGCCTACCCCTTCGGGGATAAAAGGGGAAACGGTTATATTACCTGGCATAAAAAATTATTGATATACAGCCGAATGTGATTAGGAATAACGAGTTGCCGACCTCAACTTAGTTGTAAATACCTAAGCCAGAAGACAAGATACGACATGAGTGTTTAATGATATTTAAAATTTATTCAAATTAAAACTTACCAATAGCATCTATGCCGTTCTGTCGCGCGCTTTTAGCAAAAGGCGACATATAGCAGCCATCGAAGGAGAGGTTGCGCGCCATCCACGCGATGGAGTTGGCAACAGCCTGAAGTTTCTTGGTATCTCCGGCAAGGCCTTGCGCGCGTCTCATCTCCGCCACCAACACTGGTTCGGGTACATTGTCAAATACGCCGTCCGTCGCCACCAAGATCACGTCACCACACTCAACTGTAAACTCTGACGTTTCCGCTGATTCTGGCCTGATAATGAAAAATAAATACACGTGAAAATGGATTTGTAAATTCTAAATTGTACATATTAGTGGCAGAATACAGGATTTATTCGCTTATATTTCTTAAAATAAATAAAGCCTTCTTACTGAAGATATGATACAAATGTAAATTGATTGATGGGTATGATTGAGATATGAACCTTATTGGTTGATAGTGGTATTAATTAATATTATTTAATTTGCTGGTTTCAAATTTTTTTAGCATGTTCTGTTAACCAAAGAGTTAATATGGGTACTAATTAGTAAATATTATTCACAAAACTCTGTTAGCTATTATGATTTACGCTATATCAATATCACCTTACATAAAACTTGGTTGAGTGCAAGTTTCCTGATATGTCATGAATGGCATGATATTCAGGCATGAGCGACACCATTAATAGATATCATTTAACCCTTTTATAAATAAGAGTAAAAGTGGTATGATTGATCCACGCCAGTTTTAATCAAGATCACTATGTAAACAACATGGTCTGAACACAGTGATAATGCCTGCAAAATGTGAAAATTGTATTATGTTGCCTTTCTCTCAGTAATGTTAAATACCTATGACAATGAAATTATTAAATTTCATTGCCTACAACTAAGGAAAAGAATATAGAATATTTTTTTGAATGGAAATAACCCATAATAGATGTCCTTAAATGAAATTTTCTGGAGGAATAATTTTAAAAATTCTGGGTTTTATGCAGATTTTTAACTTAATTTAAGATCCCCGAGAACCTTAAATGTTCCCTTTTTTTACAACTTTAAATATATATAAACTTTAAATATACATAGAATCTTAGCTTAATAGTCGTGCTCACGACCACTATACATATATACGAAGATTGTACATAAGCACAGATAATGTATACCACTCAGTCCTCATTTAAATAACAACATAATGTTTCTGAAATGACGCAATTTCCGTGAAAAGACATGAGAGTTAAAAAAATATTGGACTTTAGTCTCGTCCACTTATCTACATATTAGAGGAGACGTAATTTGGGCGCCAAGACGTAACAACTTATTTCTAGGATGTCTGAATACATTACACAGTTATAAACATACATTTAAGGTGAACATGTTGTGACGTATCTCATTTATTTGATGTCAATAATGTTATGTACCAATGTCAACAACCTCACAGTTATAAGATTGATGGATTATACATTGCGTAGTCATTAAATTACCTTGCTTGATGTGTAATTATTACTCAGAGCGGTGAATTTATTAAAGAGTAAATAAAATTCTTTTCGAAAGCCGTGCCAATAACAAACAAGTAAACACAATTCCATAAATTTCAAGAGAACGCACAAGTTTAAAGACCTGGCAAATATCCAATGAGCTAAAAATTCTAATATTAGTGCATACAGAAATACAACTGCTGTATGTGGAATGAGCACATGACTACTAGTCTCGTGGTTGGAGAATAATGAGTCTTATGACTGTAGACCAAATCTAGACTCAAGTGTATAAAATAACGTGTTAGTATTTCACGTTTTCTCATTCCTCAAAACCAGTGATAAGGAAAATTCATTTTAGTCAACTAATTAAGAAGAATTTTAATGCGATGTCTGCTATATTACAGCCCTTTGACCCGCAAATGTGATTGTGCAAGGTCACAATAGTTCATTAATGTGCACTTTTTAACTTCGTCCGATAACTTAATACATTTCATTTATAATGAGACTGAATAAATTTTATCTAGCATTGTCAATGTTAGTAAATAAAGTTTAATTAGTTAATTGTACCGCTACGATGCAGTTTCATTGAGATGCTAATAATAGTAACGATTTAAAGGACAATCCATTAATTGACCGGCGTCGAAGTACCTATACCATGTGGAATCGTTCTCAATTACATAATTTTGCATTACAAAAACATTAATTGCAAGCCATCTGGAATTCATTGTAGCTGAGCTAATTTGTTTAAGAAATAAATGTCTTTTGTTCTTTTTTAATATGGATTAAAGTTATGGAGCGGAAAATACTTTACTAGGCCACCTCACGTAGCCATATTATTTAAACCGTATGAAATAAGAAGTAACTAGTTTTCTGGTGTGAGTTGTTACAGAGCGGTTATTTGGGCCATTCAGACTGGCTAAAATGGTCTATGTAACTTGTTAGAGTGAGCGGAAGATCACAACTGAATTCATTTATGTACAAAGTTACGACACTTTTCAAAACATAAAGCATAGCGCTATGGTATACCTTGTAAAATGGTTTTGGCACATGACCAAATTAAAAGTTTTGAAATTGTCAACAGTACGCAGCTTACGACTTCAGTAGTTTTAGTACAAATTATCGTCGAATGCTAGACATTCCTATGGTTAAAATACGAATAAATCAATTTAACGACATATCGAAATGCAGATGTTTTGAAGCATAATCGTATCACCCATACTACAGATTGAGTCTTCAGTTGTATTTATACTATTATCAGTATTGAAGTAACCTTTCGCATTAATTCAGATTTTATCATCAAGAAATTATGACGCACTATACTTCTTTTATCGTAGAAGTGTAGACGCGTGATAAATATACAAATAACAATCCCAAGACAGTCACTAGTCAATGTCATTTTAAAATAATCTTGATTTCTTAAATTTAGTTTGACCTACTGGATTTCTTACCTGTACAAATATGGTAGACAGACTGAAGTACTTAGGTATCACAGTCGTTAGTTTTACCCAGTAATGATAAGATTTAATCCGCCTTTTCAAGTGGTATACTTATCATCACTCAATCAATGTAAATAAATTTAAATAACATCTGTCATAGCATTGTAGACATTGTATCTTCAAGACACCAAAGACAGATTTATCATCTTGTATTGGTGTCAACTTATCTATCTATTATGAAGACGATTTCTCAAAAAGCAAATAAGAGTTCCGTAGTATATTTGTTGTAATGTATGTAGTTTATTTACCTGTCACTTAGCACATTCCGGTCGTGTCCAGGCGGCGGTAGGCTAAGTTGGTAGGGCGTGTTGAAGTAGTGTTGTTGTTCGTGCGAGCGATGCACCACTCGACCTCCGCGGACTACCATGTACCCGCTGTCGCCGATGTTGGCTGCTCGCATAACGCTCTCCGACCGATCTAGGATCATCACACATGCTGTGCTGCTTCCTTTAACAAACAATAGACATTCAATTGATTATTAGGTTTAACGGCTTAGTTAAGTTACGGTTTTTTTGTGAGGGGAAAATCATCAAATTCCTTCTCCCGCCTAGGGTAAAAGGGAGTGCCAGACTCTTACTGACTAAAAATTCCACCTAGGCCGAGGCCACGGTGACTTATTGCGATTGCCTCGCAACCCCCGCTGAACATCAGCCCTATAGGGCCCCGTCGACTGCAGGACATGCAAAACGTCGGTAACACGTCCAACGTAATAATCAACAATACAAGATAGTTGAAATAATATTAAAAGTTACACCAATCAGAGATCAGAAGACCGGGCTACGAATTTGAAACTTAATAGTAATACTATTATGTCTATGGTTTTCGGGAAGTAATACGGCGAACGAAATTGTTTCCTATAAGTGACGGCATCGCCTTCCATTGAATAGGTTATATGACTGGCGAAAACTGTCCACTTCCTTCTGGGACTAAATGTTAGCTCATGTCTTTGGTTTCACTATAACTTGAATACGTTTTATGTTGACAAAACCTCTAGTCTTTGTGGGTAGTATTTATTTGAGAATTTATTAGCTCCTGCCAGCAGCTTCGCTCCATTAGGTACCCGCATGAGTCGGGTGGGACCAGAGTGGCCTGTGTTATTCCAGAATATAATCTCTATCTGTGCCAATTTTCATAAAAATATCTTCAGCAATTTTTAGGTGCAAGGGCAACATCCATCCTACATGTAGTAGGAAGTACTTTTATTTTTGGTACTTAGAATTTCAAAATTGTAATATGGCAGGTCGGTGATATCTGTGATACAAAAGCATGTGCATTTATCTCAAATCTCGAAACTATTTTACTGTCTGATTTGTTACCATAAACAATACCTAAATATTTTTAAATATGTCGTCATAGGAACCTTGTAAAGAAATACAATAATGGACGTAAATTTATTATAATATACATCTTAAAGTTTTCAAATGAATGAGTAAACAATACAAAACAGGAACTCGTATCACACAACAAAGAAAAAAATATATAACAATGTCTATAGTAGCAACCATAGAGTTATCAATAATTTATTTAGTTGACTGCTGCAACAGATCACATGTATTGCAGAGGAAAATAAAAGAGGACTTTGTATTGTTCAATTGAGTGTGACATAAACAAAACAAGCAGCCATGAATATATCTTAATCATTAAATTTAACACAGTCTATCTGTATCTAAATTGGTCAAGGTGAATATTTTCTCAGCTACATGAATGTTGTTATTTTTTAGGCAACCTATGTATTTGTGTAAGTCATTCGTTTGTCACATATTGTTATTCAAATAGTAACTGTTTTCATATTTACAGAAGAATAAGGTACTTTATCACAAAAGAATAAGGTTGAAAATAAAAATTGAGCAAATGAAGCTCCCACCTACCTAATATTGGTTTCTTATGTTCCAATAATTCATAATAGGACTTTGCCAGCAGGTCCCCTGGTTCTGACATCTTGAAATGTCCCATTTGGACGAGCCTCTCGCATGTCCGCATCAGGTATGAGGAGAACTCTCCGGGGTCGATCCCGTAAGCACGCCATCCTCCTACACCATCTGCCACACCTAGGAAAGAGGTTTAGTGTTTAAATAAATTCCTTATTGATCTTCTTTTTAGTATGTTTAAGTGTTGTTTACATCGAAAAGTAGATGGGAAAATGCCTCATGGTTATAGTCCAATATGTTGATCCAATAAGATTCACACTGCTTGAGATTCCACTATCCACAATACCCTATAAACTGCTAGCAACAGACTTAGATAGAGGAATATTGGGCAAGAAAGTCATACAACAGGACGAAATTAAAATTAATAATGCTAATTGTATTGAAATAAGTGATGTATTATTCTGTTAAAATAAAAAAAAAAATATTTAATGTCATTGTTTTTTTAATATCACAAACTGTAATGATATGAAGATATGATGAAAACAATTTCAATGTCCCATGAAAACAACATATTGATGATTTAACAGTATAGTATAACATAAGTAAATACGATTTTTTTTATTTAATTCATATGACTTTACTAGTTGTAAGTAAGAGATAAGAAAGACTGCTGAACTTTTATTCTAAACAATAATACTCTAAAACGGTTTAGAAATTATAGCCAAATTGTCAGAACAACTGAGATTTAAATGTGAAAAAATATAGTGTTTAAAATCAATAGTCAATCAAATATTCAGGCAAAATCAATGCAAATAGAAATGATTTAATTAATTAATGGTTTTCCTGTTAATGTTTTAGGTAATTCCAAAGATTTCCACAGAGGATAATCCCAAAAAAAAGAAGTTCTACCAACATAATAAATAAATCATTTTGTTTTTTAGTATGATATTCTCATGCATGTTTATAAAGGGCATTGACTGTGCCTTAAGTCAAAACATGAAGGTTGACAGCCCGTTGCAGTCACATGCAGAGCATTTAAAGTACACATAAACAACTAACTGCTATCATCATTTGTTTAAAATCATGTGCAGACAATAGACTAAGAAACAATTGGATTTATTTTTTAGCAAGTTTTATAATCAACAAGCATTGTTAAATCTGATTGTTATTTAGATAATTGTCTAATGGTCATTGTTTGACACTTGTCATGTCCCAAAAAATAAAGAGAAAACATTATGTCAAAGTAGGGACTACTTTTTTGAGGGGGAAAATCATCAAATGTCTTCACCCACATTAGATAGAGTGTAAGACTCAAACAGATTAAAAACTAGTGTGCCAGCTGGAGCGACATTGCATTACATGAAGGTGACTTACAATCCGGCTGAAAATCAGCTCTATTGGGCTGCATCAGTGGTGTTCTGTTGGCTCTTTGAGTCTATCTAGGGGTTACTGTTTACTGCATTTGTGTTCTAATGTCTGTGTGAATGGACTTCTTTTAACTACTATGAAACAACCTCATACTTTTAATAAATTTCAATTAGCACCCAGCTGCCCTGACAAACAAACTGACAAGACTATTATTACCTATTTATGGATTAGTTAGAATAAATTATTTTTACTTTCTTATTAAGCATTGTCTGATATAATAAGACTCTTAGAGTATACCGGATTGATAGTGTGAAGGATTAATAATTACAATTCTAAATATAAATCTATTTTATAAAGATCATTAAGGTTACCTATAACAATTTTATAATGATTAATATACTTAATAATCTAAGATTTTTATAGAACTATTGCCATTTAGCAAATTGCTAATTAAATGATTCTTCATAATCAAGTGTTGCTAACCTTCTATATTATAAATCATACATGCCATTATAATAATTAGTTCAATAATAAGTATCTCATGTTTATTAACAATAAATAATAAAATAAAATATACAAGTTCTTCGTATTTCTTGAGTTTATCATCAAAAACATGATTTAAAATAAGTTTCATACAATTTTAGAAATAGGCTGCAAAAACCTGTTTATTGTGCTTTGTTAGCTTAACACAAAGTGTTTTTCTCTGATAATTTTTCACAGTTTCTATAAAAGGATATTAATTACTGTTTGTATTAAACGCGGATAGAAAGTTAAGAAGGAAAAAAGTTAATTTTGCGCTCTTTAAGAAATTGCAGCGTAATAAGATCACAACATGTTACCTCAAGGAACAATGATATAACAAAAACAGACAATATTTAATTAGAAATGCTAAAAATGTGACAAAAACAAACTTTAACATTTAATAGTTAAATTTATAAACATTATTCTTACCAATAACATCCGCGTTGCTAGAATTTGTAGAGAACCATGCGTCGTCACCGAATTGTCCTTTGCGCGTTCTTCCATTAGCAATGTCTTTAGGAAAACCACACACTACAGAAACTAAATATGGGTGTTTAGTCGTCGAAACATTTAATTCAGCAGCACTCGAAAAATTTGAAAGTCCATTTCTTAACGCACGTGATAGCAGTCTCCCTGTCCAGAAAATAGACTGCATCATTCATTAGTTGAATCGTACTTTGACACCAGCCTTTCACAAGAGATCAGACGAAACTAACGAAGACATTTTTGCAGAACAATAACACATACGAGTCATATTTAACTACAATGCCAATTTAAAATCAAGTTTTGTCGTCTTTAGACTTATTTTCGATTTTTATTACATTTGTCTCGTGACTGATGGAAAGACTTACATTGGACAAATTGGACATTAAGCCATAGACTAACCAAAGACCTTATACTCTAAACTAGACTGTGCACTAAGGCGCAAAAACCGAGCCGGTGCGAGACAGCTCCCGATGGTAGTGTGTCCCTTTCTAATGTAGTGACCATGACCAAACAGAATACGGGACAAATTGCTTGTAAAAACGATTATTTAAGTATCATGATATATTGATACTACCAAACTAGCGTAACTTCACCAACCTAATTTTTTTGTAAGAAAAAACCAACAATCCAAAATGTGTGTATATTTTTACTCGACTTCCAAAAAGAAGGATGGTTCTCAATTCGACCATATATATATGCTTTTTTTATGTTTGTTCGCCGATATCTCCGTTATTAATGAACCGATTTTGATAATTCTTTTTTGTTGGCAAGGAGATAGTTTTAGAATGGTCCCATGATAAGGAAATCAGGATCTGATGATGGAAGACCAGAGAAATTGAGAACTTTCAAAAATTGAAGGTACGAGTGGTGCTTTTGCATGTGGTTTTAGTAGGCTTTTGACAACGCTACAACTTGCCGATGTTCGAACTCGACCTGATGATGGAGCCGGAAGACAATCGAGGGATCTCCTTGACTATTTGAAGTAGTTGCCTTGTGTTTGGGCTTGAATGATTCGTATTGATGAGCACTTTGCACAAAGATGGTAGTGACTGTCAGTAAGGGTCTGATGATGAAAACGAAAGACAGCTCAGGAAACTCCTGACCGTTTTACAGTAACTACATCGTGTTTGGACCTAATTTATTTATATCGATGGAAGCTTTGCACCTTTATGAATTACAATAAAGTTATACACTAAATCGTTATGATGAAGGTGGAAGACCGTCGTGGGATCTCCTTGACTATTTGGAGTAGTTGCCTTGTGTTTGGGCTTGAATGATTCGTATTGATGAGCACTTTTCACCAAGATTGGTCGTGACTGTCATTAAGGGTCTGATGATGAGAATGAAAGACAACTCAGGGAACTCCAGAACGGTTTTCAGTAACTACCTCCTGTTTGGACTTAATTCATTTATATTGATGAGAACTTTGCACCTATATGGATTGTGTATAATGAAGGTCTGCAGTATACCTGATGATGGAAGTCATTGACATTTGAGGGAATTCCTCAACGATTTACAGCATTCAAAGCTGACTAACTCAGGACTATTATTACCGTGATTTTCGGTCTCAAATAGCCGTCGTCTTCTCTTTCGAGAAGCATGCTAGCTTTTTCTGCCTATCACTTAAAATGGTAAAATAAAATATTTTTTAACAAAAAAACCGACTTCCAAAAATAAATTTTGGAAGTCGGTTTTTTTTGTTAAAAATTACTTTTTTAAATCTACAGAACCTGTAAGTAAAGTAAGTAAGTAAGTAAGTATTTATATAGTAATCTGTACACGTGGGTAAGGGTTGAAAGTACTTTTTTCTACTTTTAAAAGTGATATATTCCCACCATCATATTAATATTACCTACAGCAAAAAGGTTGATTTCGGCGAGGGAATACACCGTGAGGTTGGCTGAATGTTTAACCATTATCCGAAAAATTTGTCTGATTCCCCTTGTGGCTACGAAAGTCAGATGGCAATCGCTTTACTGTAATTATCAGACTCGCCACTCCAAGATCGTATTCGGGGAACCTTGGCAAGCTCCTAGGTGAAAGCTTAGCATATGTAACCGGGATAACATTTGCTAAGATGATGAGGAGGATTATTATTAAATGAGTGTAAGGGCAAATGAATGTGATGCAGTATTGTGGAATGAAAAAGACTGTTTTCTTTTAATATTGGTTTATTTTTATACATTGCTGAACAATACAGTTTTACGCAATTTTTGTCATAATGTAGCCCTATTTCCTACATGTTTGAGGCTTAAAGTCTTCCCGTAGCTTTTATGTCTTAAATTTAAGTTTTTTTTTATCAATACATTAAATCAGTTCCAATTCGTGGGATTCGTCAGATGCTGGATGGGCAGGCAAAAGGTGCTTAATTTTAGGGGTGAATTGATGTACTATCATATTAAGCATTTATTTATATTCAAGCTCTGTAAATCAGGAGAGATTACCAAAAAAAGTTTTTCTATATACTTTACTACATTGAACACATGTTGAAGCCTCAGATTAATATAATTACAATTTTGTTTTCTGACAAGCTTGGTAAGCATTATTTTTTACATTACTTTATCTAATTCTATAAAACATTCAAAAATTCTATTATATAAGTAATTGTCAACAGTGCGAATATTTAAAGTAAATGTTTATTAAGTTTTTATTATAAGAAATAATGTGTTTTAGGCTATATTTTTTACTTTCTAAAAAACGGGGAAGGTGTAGTGTGTGAGATCTCTCCCCTTAAGTAGTGTAAGTTTTTAGGTATATACACTTAATTAAAGACGATCGTCCAGCTTACACGTCTCGTATTTGCTTCTACATTGCATCACATTTTAATGTAACACTTACTGGACGCTTATAACCTATTTACACCTGTTTACTTATAATATCATTGGTATTAACAAGTTCTTTAAAATAATAAAATAAAAAATGAAAAGGACACAAAGGACAAAAACAGTTAGTCGTATCTTCTGCCTATCTACTGCGATATAGTAAGAAAATCTTTGATCGAGAAAATTCATTGTTACCCTAACCCAAAATCAGCAAACCGCCATCTTGCATTAATTGTTACCAAACACAAACATTCAAGTACTACTGTTTACTCTGTATTAATGATTTTTCGTATAATACCGCAAATTGACTATTAATTATAAGGACTATAAAGACATTTATATACGTTTTGTAGTTTATGAATTGTTTGTTTTGTTAAAACATAAAACATAATTATATTTATTTTTCTACCATTTCTACCAACCCCTAAGGTTAGTTGAGCTGGCAAGATGTGAGACAAGGACACACTACCGTGAGGAGCCCTCTCGCCTGGACCGGTTTTAGTTTGTTAACGCTTTTAAGAAAATAGCTACCCTATACATAACGGGATAAAGCACATTTTTGCTAAACAACAAAATTTGGTGCACAGTCTAGTTTTAAGTACAAGGTCTTTGAGACTAACTGTGTTATAGACACTAAAGACAAGAGAAGTACTAGTGATGTCATTGAAACATCGGAATTGGATAATATAAAATACCTGAAAAAATACATTTTCAATGTATTTTGATTTGATTATAAACATTATCTTAGTGACTATTTTACCACCAATATAATGGTTAACACAAATTTATTAACATAGTTGTATTTTGCATTGTGCTCTTTTCGAACGAATGATACTTAATGCTCCACTGGCTTTATTTCAGCTGTCAAAATAAAGTCTTCTCGAATATGTGCTATAAGTGAAGCACATAAGGATCATAAAAGTATGTGAAGCCCTTGATTGGAGTACAATATTGATCCATAAACAATAAGCTCAGTCTGACGTTTCAAAAACGGATCTATGGAAAAGGAAGGCGTTGTAGAACCATCAGAAGAAATTCATCTTTTCCGATTATTGTAATGACGGCCGCTAATTGATTAGTTGTAATTCAACGCCGATTTACCAGTTTTCCATCTTATACGTTAGTGGTAGTATTTTGGAGATATTATTTCCTTTGAAAGTGTAAAGAAAAGGCATAAAACTGGTGTTCGATAAGTCACTTGGCAATATGCCTGCCGTCAGGGGAGATGGAATGCGAGGACTCGCAGTCTTCATATCAGACATACGAAATTGTAAAAGCAAAGAAGCGGAAATTAAGAGGATCAATAAAGAGCTGGCCAACATAAGAAGTAAGTTCAAAGGTGACAAAACTCTTGATGGATATCAAAAAAAGAAATACGTGTGTAAACTCTTATTTATCTTTTTGCTCGGTCATGATATCGACTTCGGTCATATGGAAGCAGTCAACTTACTTTCATCTAACAAGTATTCTGAAAAACAAATCGGGTATTTGTTCATATCTGTGTTGGTTAATACCAACAGTGATCTAATTAAGCTTATCATTCAAAGCATTAAAAATGACCTGCAATCACGTAATCCGATACATGTAAACTTAGCTCTGCAATGCATTGCCAACATTGGCAGCAAAGATATGGCTGAAGCATTTGGGACTGAAATACCTAAGCTTCTGGTCTCAGGAGATACTATGGATGTGGTGAAGCAATCTGCTGCTCTTTGCCTATTGAGGCTGTTCAGGAAGTCACCTGAAATAATTCCAGGAGGTGAGTGGACTTCCCGGATCATACACCTATTAAATGATCCACATATGGGAGTTGTAACAGCAGCAACATCTCTTATTGATGCCCTTGTGAAAAAGAATCCAGAGGAGTATAAGGGTTGCGTAACACTGGCTGTTGCTAGGCTGAGTAGGATTGTAACTGCTAGTTACACTGATCTGCAAGATTACACATATTATTTTGTGCCCGCCCCCTGGCTTTCTGTCAAACTGCTACGTTTGCTTCAAAATTACACACCACCTTCTGAAGAACCTGGTGTAAGGGGCCGTCTATCGGAATGTTTGGAAACTATTTTCAATAAGGCTCAAGAACCTCCCAAGTCTAAAAAAGTGCAGCATTCCAATGCCAAAAATGCTGTCTTATTTGAAGCTATAAGTCTTATAATACACAATGACAGTGAACCTAATTTACTCGTGCGTGCATGCAACCAACTTGGCCAATTCCTTAGCAACCGTGAGACAAATTTAAGATATCTTGCCCTGGAGTCCATGTGCCATTTAGCTACATCAGAATTTTCCCATGAGGCTGTCAAGAAACATCAAGAAGTTGTAATTTTATCTATGAAAATGGAAAAAGATGTATCAGTCCGACAACAAGCTGTAGACTTGTTGTATGCCATGTGTGATAAAACAAATGCTGAAGAAATTGTACAAGAGATGTTAGCTTACTTGGAAACTGCTGACTATTCCATAAGGGAAGAGATGGTGTTAAAGGTAGCTATTTTGGCTGAAAAATATGCCACTGATTTCACATGGTATGTAGATGTGATTCTTAATCTTATAAGAATTGCTGGAGATTATGTATCAGAAGAAGTTTGGTACAGAGTCATACAGATTGTAATCAACAGAGAAGAAGTCCAAGGCTATGCTGCTAAAACTGTGTTTGAGGCATTACAAGCACCAACTTGCCACGAAAATATGGTGAAAGTTGGTGGCTACATTCTTGGGGAATTTGGAAATTTGATAGCCGGAGATACACGATCATCCCCGCAAGTTCAGTTTGAGCTACTTCATTCTAAATACCATCTGTGTTCAGCTGCCACAAGAGCTCTTTTGTTATCAACCTACATTAAACTTGTGAACCTCTTCCCAGAAATAAAAAATCGTGTTCAAGAAGTTTTCCGTGCCGACTCCAACTTACGTTCATCCGATGTTGAGTTACAACAAAGAGCTTCTGAATATCTACAACTGAGTATTGTAGCAAGTTCTGATGTTCTTGCCACAGTATTGGAAGAAATGCCTGCATTCCCAGAAAGAGAATCTTCAATCTTAGCTGTCCTAAAAAAGAAAAAGCCTGGCCGTATCCCTGATGATGTGAGAGAGTCAAAGAGTCCTCAACCCACAGCAGCCCCTGCTGCTGTTATCAACTCTACCAATAATACAAACAGCTCTAGTGCTGATTTGCTTGGACTTTCCACTCCTCCTGGAACAACAGCACCAGCAACTGGTAATGGTTTGCTGGATGTACTTGGAGATCTCTATACTGCTCCAAAAATAAGTCCAAGTACAGTTCAACAAAATAATATCAAGAAATTCTTGTTCAAAAATAATGGTGTTCTGTTTGAAAATGATCTTATTCAGATTGGTGTCAAAAGTGAATTCAGACAGAATTTGGGAAGGATTGGTTTATTCTATGGAAACAAAACTCAGTTCCCCATCCAGACTGTTCGTCCTGAACTACACTGGACTGATTTGCATAAGCTGAATGTGCAAATGAAGCCTATGGAACCTGTACTAGAAGCAGGTGCACAGATCCAACAAATGCTGACAGCTGAGTGTATTGAAGATTTTGTTGATGCTCCAAGTATGTCTGTTTCATTTGTTTACAATAATGTACCCCAAAAGATTACTATGAAATTACCACTTACATTGAACAAGTTCTTTGAACCCACTGAAATGAATGGAGAATCTTTCTTTGCAAGATGGAAAAATTTGGGAGGTGAACAGCAAAGAGCACAAAAGATTTTTAAGGCTCAAGGTTCCATTGACATACCTGCAACTCGCACCAAATTAGCTGGGTTTGGTATGCAGCTGCTGGATGGTATTGATCCTAACCCTGATAACTTTGTGTGTGCAGGAATTGTCCACACTAGAGTACAGCAGGTAGGTTGTCTCATGAGATTGGAACCAAACAAACAAGCTCAAATGTTTAGACTGACTGTAAGATCTAGCAAGGAAACAGTCTCACATGAAATTTGCAATCTGTTAGCAGATCAATTCTGAATTTAGTTTAAAGGAACCATGAATTATGAACAACATTGTTAGACAATGAAGTTGGTGTTATATTTACCTAGAAGTTCACAGTCACTTTACATGTAGGGTTGATATAAAGTAATGCGTACAATTTGGAAGATAAATGAAGCAAAACACTTGTGAACTTTGCACTGAACTAATAATGAAATGAAATCTCTTGTGTACAATTTTGGATTTATTTTATTGCTAATAGAGAGTTAGGTGTTTTGTAAACCGAGATTTATTTTAGTTTAAATTTAAACTGCAATTTATAAGATTTGATAAAAGTCCAAAAAGACATGGAATACTTACTTTCAAGGTTTATAATGGTAATATTCAATAATTATTCTATGCTAAGAGATAACTTGGTTTGCTTCTTGTAAATCAATACACTTCCATCTATGAAACCTAATTTGATATTAGTAGTAGTATAATAAAAAATAATATGGTGTATGGTTTATCATCTGTAAACATTTACCATGATCAGTAGTATGCACCATGCTTAAAACCAGTTACTTCATTATGTTCATGTGATATTGTGTGGTACAACATCTGTATCAGTACTGCTTGATTTGTATATATAGAGGATAAATGAGATTCTCATTCATAATGACTTCATGGTTGATAGTTTGTCTTGTTTGGGCGATGAATAGGTAGCTATTTAGTGTCACAGATTATACTGTTGTCTCGCATATTTCTAGATATATTCAAATGTATTTATGATATATTGTAGAAAATTATACCTAAATTCATACCAAAGTAACTATTCGGCTGTTGTTAATCATGTATCTAAATTTCGGTTGGTTCATGTTATATTATACCCAACAGTAGCTTTGCTAACATTTTTTTAAATAAAGAACAACTATCTACTGATGGGCGTAATATTACTATGTATGTGAAATTATGCAACTTGTATCAAACTATGATGTCGTTATTTTACCTGTATATTCATCGCTGTTGTAAAACAGGTTCCCTTTATTTATTATTATGATGTTCCTGTTAACTTGTAGTAAAATATACAAATGGCAATAATTTATACCATACCCAGTGGAAGCTGATATACAGTATTAACTTTGGTTAAAAAATCTCTTGTTTTCCTCTATATCAAAGTAATATTTGATTTTAGTATTTATTATTATTCCCATAAAAGTGAATAATTTTGCCTAATGGTAGTATGTCTACAAATTTGTAAAATAGAATACCTTTGATGGTAATACAATTATTATTTATTTATCCAAATAGCTGATATTTCAACGTCTTTAGAATTGCAACTAAAGTTGTCATGTTGACAGATAGGTGCTTTTTAAGTTTTAATGAAAACATGAAAATGTACTTCACAAACATTCCTATATCATAGGTCTATTATATATTATTTTATAATTGCAAAGTAGTTATTTTTCCATGACTTCATGTATTTTATATTCTCCCAGTCATTAAATTTAATAAAACCAACATTGTCATGTGAAAATGAAATAATGTTAAAATATGTAGTAACATTTAGTATATCAGCTTCATACTCATGACATCTTATATGTATTTGTTTATTAGAGGTTTAATTAAATGTGTTGGTGTGTTTCTTTGAGTATACATGTTTTCAAGTCGAAAGTAGGAATCTCACAAACCTAGAAGATTTTATTTTCATATTATTATGTACCACAAATAGAGATTAGAGATAGGAACTTTAGTATTATGGACATAAAATGTTGTTATAAATTTATTAGTAGAGAGCATGCTAAGATTTCTTTGCATGGTAGGTTTGTTAAGAGAACATTAATAATAAATTAATATATCATAAACGTTTTTATTAATCTTGTTAAGAATGTGGTACTCATAACATTGTATGTATATTATGAAATTAAAAAGAATGTATAAGCTTATTTGATACATGTACACTTCGTATATATGTGTGTTTATCAAATGTAATATATCACAAAGTGGGTGTGATTCTGTAACAGATGTTATTATAGATGTTTGTTCTTGCGCTTCGAACCCATTATTGTAACTCTTAAATAAAATATTTATCCAATACGTATTTGTGCATTTTTATTTATTATTAACTAACATTATTCACAAAACATTTCAATGTTTTTAAACGTCAAATATAATGTCTGAACTTATCTAACTATTTAAGGGTCCCTATCAAATTTGCCAGTTTTGTTAACATACAAAATATCAACTGCAAATACTGCATTTGGGAATATTATGAGAACAAAAACATAAACGGAGCAACAAAATACACTTGAACTTTGATAAAAAATACTTCTCATATTCAAATAGCTGATATTTTATTTTAAACGCGCAGACGACTGTTTGGAAATATTTTTAAAATCAATTTATTAGTAGTGCAAACAATAAATAAGAAAATGTGTACTGCAAACTTATTAATAGACTACACAACTGTACCCATACCGACAATTTTTTTAAAGATTGTTTCCCACTACTTATAAGATGAAACAGCACTTAAAAGCTAGTGTTGTGTGTTTTTGTGAAAACGCGCCTTCGCAGCGTTATTATATTATTTATGAAATTGTTTGTCTATACATTAACTACATGAATATATGAAATATTTTGTACGAATATTGAGACTGATTACTTAACACATCCAGTGCCCCCGACGCGTATGTGCGATTCCTTACGCTATTCGCGTCGAGAGCACACAGAGTAGCGTAAGGAAACGCACATACGCGTCGGGGGCACTGAATGTGTTAAACAAAAATATAATCTCGTCCGTTTTGGCACAAAAATTATTCGGGACCCTTAAAATTAAATACTTTATATTACACTAACTTTTGTACTAATCAAACCATTCTTCTACATTCGGCGAATTCTCCAATACATCGTTAGATTCACTGAAACAAACATAAACATCTTAATTCTCAGTAGGTGAAAAATCATCCAATTTACTTGTGTGAATGACGAGTGACGTCACGTTATTTTTTATGCAACTACGGCGAAGCAAGGAGAATGACATAGTTTCGTTAAATCTATGGTAGGTACTAACTTTACTACTAGATTTATGCCCGGTTCCTATAATTGAGAAACGATCCGTTTTAGTTACGAATAGTAGTTTTATATACGACTCGTAAGCTAAAACCGTTCCTATAACAAACGTCTCGTCGTGCAACTTACTGACGGTTTGCAACTAACGGACGTCGGTAAGCGAATTGTATGGAGATCTATGGTGTCTGTGGTGTTCCTATAAATATTTTAACCGTCAGTAGACGGTCAAGATAACTATTCGTAATGTCATTTGATCGTAATGCGTATACAACGACGATTCGTTAAATATAGAAACCGGGCATTAGTAAAACCTATGTAACACTAGGCTCTTGGCTTTTATCGACTACTATGAATTTAAGAGATATATAGATATTTTGCAAGAAAAAAACAAAGAACAGTAATTACCTGTCAAGTGAAGGATCGTTGCTGAACATTTCAGTTGGAACTGTCGGTGGAGCTCGCTCAGGTAGCAGCTCCATGTACGACTGCCGCGATTGTAAGTGTCGCTCCACTTCTTCTGGAGTCATGTGGCCATCACCAGCCGATAGGCCGAAACCTAAAGCCGGCGAAGCTTTAGACAGCATGGAACTAGTAGATTGGTGCTGAAAGAGATTTATGTTTAAACATGAACTATTGTGATCTGTCACAGCAACACCAACAGATATAGGTAGGTATTCATGCCAAATTGAGACAGATATAAAAAAATACTTACAAGTTGACTTGCATTAGCAGGTTTCTTAGGAACTGTTGCTCTTTTCCTTTTTATTGTATTTGCTCCTTTGACTGATGAGCTTGTAGACACATTCTGACTGGCTGCGCTAGCTTCCATTTTCTTTCTGAAATTATTGAAATAAAAGCGCGTTAAAAAAGAAAAGGGAAAATTGGAGAGTGCTAATACTTCATTCCTTTTATTCTTTTTTTCTTTCTTGTTTAAAAAAACTTTGCCCCACACTAGGATTTTCTCCTGTGTCGTGGGTGCGGTTACAAACATACAATTTCACTTGCACATCACACCCAGACCCGGAACAACAATTTGTGGGTCACACAATGAGTTGTTCCGTGCGGGAATCGAACCCGCGACACGTTGCACGGCAGCCAGTTGCCCAGCCACCGCACCAACCATGCAGTCAAGTCAAAAACATTTATATTAAATACTGTTCTGTTTTACTTTGTACCTTTTGACATCATTGCGATAATATTCTGGGTCATCAGATGATTCAGTGTCCTCACTCTCAGATGTGGTGCTGTCTGGCTTCTCATGTTGCAACAGGCGGTCGAGCAGGAAGGTGCGGTCTCTTGACACTTTCAACAATCTTTTTTGACTACATCTCAGCGCATCTTGAAAGCATTCGTTCTCCTGTAAGTTGAAAAAGAACGGTAAGCATGATTTTATATACATATAAGTAAGCTGTTCAACATATGCATACACTTTCCTATAACCTCCACTCTTTGCGCCCCGATTCAGGATCTCAATTTGAAAGGATCCAAATGCTTAGTGTGAGCTTGCTTTACTTTGAGGCGATCGACACATTTATGTCGTCCAGCGCACGGATAGTCCGGTTCCAAATTAACCAACCAATCAAAGGGCTATAGGCGGTAACGCTTGGACCCCGTAAACGTAAAGAAAACTCACACTCGGCGCTCAGTAAATCAAACAGAGCAGTGTCATATAAAAAGCGTAATATATTATCGATCTTTATCCAGATTCGATTACGAAACTCTGTAGGTATAACGTAGTGCTCTGATGATTTGGGTGCGCACGCCTAATGTTTGAGGGTGGAGGGTTTAAAATCAAGCAAAAAACGATGCTTTCTTAGTTTACATTTCTATCTTTAGGAAAGCTGGAGCTACAATTTCAAATTATAAGTTTACAATCGCCGATTCGTGATTAATGCTATTTGCATCTCTGCGTGCAAAGGGATCTTTTCTCAGTAAGTAAGTGAATATGTGACAGGATGGCCGATTGTGATGATGACAGAAAGAAACTTCTTGACCAAAAACTGAATGTGCCTAAACAATGCATAGGTATTATGATAGAAACAATAGAAATTACCAATTAAAAGAATTTAGAGTTGATGTGGTGTGATTTGTACCTATATAGGTGTGGCTATGAATGAACAACTTGTTCGGTAAAATTGTTGAAAGTACCTATAAAGTACTCCTGCCCACCAAAGCTTAGTGATTACCTAGTAGATATGTAGATTGAAATCGCCAAGCCGCCTTGAAAAAGCGTGGTGATTAATGCCCAAACCTTCTCCTTGTAAGAAGAGGCCTTTTCTCAGCAGTGGGCTATAGGTTGATGATGATGATGATGTAGATTTAACAAATCAACAACACATTTGACACACATCAAAAGGTGACGCCTGTACAAGATAGAAGTTTAATCATTACTTACAAGCTTCAAAACAACATTGCCGTCGAACCTCCTATCGTTTGGATGGATTATAATTTTGTATTTACGATCCGGTCTTAGCTCTCGCCTCATAACAATCACTGTGTATTTTGTTATTAAAGGTTTCTTTATTATTATCATGGTAAATATTTATTCAACTTACTCCAATACGTACTTCGAATTTACGTTGAGGATTTTTCTGATACCTCCGAACTCAGTATAATTATTCAACATTTTATTTAAATACCCACTTATTTTAACAATATTAACAATCTCGATTTTCGAAATGCCAACTGCTGTCCATCAATTTCGAATGGAACATTTATTTATTTGCATGTTTTAGTTTGGTTGTTTGTAAGTACAAAACAAAAAAAAACATGATGAATTGACAATATTTTTTAAGTTTTCTTATTTCTCGAAAATGTTAGATCATTATAAACAGTAGTAACATCAATAGTTAGATATTAGGCAAGCTTTAAAGGCTATCAAACTTCTTCACAGCACAGCATGAGGGTGTTTTTTTTTTTTTTTTTTTGTGAGGGGAAAATCATCAAATGACTTCTCCCGCCCAGGGCCGGGCAGGAGGGAGTGTCAGACTCTTACTGACTAAAAACCCCCCTGTTCCTTCTCCTGCTCTGTGCCGAGGTCGCGGTACCTTATTGCGCTTACCCCGCAACCCCGGCTGAACATCAGCCCTTTAGGGCCCCGTCTGTGGTGGTCTATTGGCTCTTTGAGGCGCGCGCGGAACGCTACGCGCCGTACGCTCGGGCCTGGTTCTGGTCGGGCGGCGAGCTGCCCTTACTCGCCGACCGCAGGCCCGTACTTACGGTGGCCGGAGATCGTCCCTCGATCCCCGACGCCCGTAGTGTCGCCAGTTGCGGCTGCTGGGGCGTGAGGAGGAGGATTGCTCCCTCACGCGGGCTGCCTCTCTCTTTGCGAGCATGACCGCTTCACAAAAGGAGGAGACGGCGTCCCAGTTCCTCTCACACCGCACCATGGCCTCGACTAAGGCCGGGCGCGAGAGGTCGCCGCCGCCGATCACTTCCCTGAGGATACGGCGGTGCTCAGCCCAGGCAGGGCATACCGCTACCGTATGCTCCACCGTATCCTCTAGGTGGTCCTCACAATGACGACACTCGGGCGTTTCCTCCCGCTGAATCCGAAACAGGAACCTACCGAAGCTGCCGTGCCCGGTAAGCACCTGCGTCAGACGGAAGGTGAGGACGCCGTGGCGTCTCTCAAGCCACTCCTCAAAGAGGGGTCTTACCGCTGCTATGGTAGCGTGCCCGGCCCTCGGTTGCGACAGTCGTTGTCTCCACTCTGCCATGTATGAGGGTGTGGGTTCAAAACCTCGCAAGTACCAATGTCCATCGCTGAAAATCAGCGCCGTGACCCCGTCTCGTACGGGGTCGCTGCATTATGCTGAGCGTGGGCCATTTCGCGTGCTTGGACGCATATATTTTTCTCCTATCCTCTACTTTGGCGATATTGTTTTTTCCATGATTAATGTATTTTTATTTTAACTTTATTTTATTATCTTGTTTGTTTTGTGTCTTTAATGCGTCCCAGACGCGAATAAATACTTTTTCTTTCTTTCTTTCTTTCAATGTGACTTTTGCCGAGGTATGTGTACTTTCTTAGCGTATTTCGAGATCATTGAGAAACTTGTAGCGACATCTAGCGCACTACATAAAACAACAGCACCAATCACGAGCAAGAGTCTACATCGCGCTATAAGAGTTATCAACACAATTAGCACCCATACAGATATCCCGACAACAACCGTCGGGCAGTAGCCCACCAGGCACGAACACCTCGCCTGGTCGGAGGATCCTCCCTTTTCAATGGAGGATGAGGAACTTTCCACCCTGTTCCTCATACCTCTAAACTGGTGACCCCGAGCATGTATATCAACGCAGCCTTCGTGCAACTACTTCATAGCCATGACGTCATCACTTCCCCGAGCTTACAAGCAGCGAGTCTACAGTCAGCCAGCTTCCACGGCTACAACGGGTTCCCTGACCACCAGCATGCAGCCGACGCGCATTCCTGGTCAGCACCTACAGCCTCATCAGCAACTTCGGCACAGCATACTGCACCGGCCGGTCAGCAAGCAGAGACGTACTCCCTCTCCTGGTCGACGCAGCAGCCAGCCACTCTTCAGCACTGCAACACCCCGACACACTGGGGCATCCCCGCAGACAGTTCCGACTCACCGTGAACTATGCGGCAGCGGTTCCCACGCACTGGAACCATCAACTGGCTCGACAAGACAAGACATTCAGACGACTCAACCTACTAACGACCTCCGGTCTCGGAGGGGAGTGATGTAGCGACATCTAGCGCACTACATAAAACAACAGCACCAATCACGAGCAAGAGTCTACATCGCGCTATAAGAGTTATCAACACAATTACCACCCATACAGATATCCCGACAACAACCGTCGGGCAGTAGCCCACCAGGCACGAACACCTCGCCTGGTCGGAGGATCCTCCCTTTTCAATGGAGGATGAGGAACTTTCCACCCTGTTCCTCATACCTCTAAAAACTCATTGAAAGAAAATATCGTGAAGAAACTTGGATTTATAATGTTTGAAAAATTTAAATTACTTATCAACTTTATAAACTCTATAAGCTTAAACACTGACTGCACGGTTGGCGCATTGACTGGGCAACTGGCTGCGTCGCAACGTGTTGTTCCGGGTCTGGGTGTGATGTGTATATGAAATTGTATGTTTGTAAACGCACCCACGACACAGGAGAAAATCATAGTGAAGGGCAAGGTTTTTTAAAAAAAAACTATGTGTGAGAAGAGGTTTTTGCTCATTAGGAAGCACTTATTGCTGATGATGATGTGAAACCTCCTCTTCGAAGATATCCCTACTTATAATAATTTAAGTACAATAATATGACAATACTGCAAAGGCAGACTTGGTGCCAATCTATATAATTATGTAAAATCTCAACAATTCCTTTACCAATTTGGCTAATTTTGGTCTTAAATTATTTGTGGAAGTCCAGAAAAGGTTAGAATATAGAGCAAAATTAAAAAAAAATTGTAGTAAATTATAATAACACAAAAATATAAAAAAAGCATTTGGTTCCTTAAATTACTGGTGTAAGATAAGATAAGTACAGGCTACTGTCACAATTCATAGATTGATAATTTTTAAACAACATTACTATCATAATAAAAAATACTGAGGGTTACAATAAAAGGGTTAAAATAAACAGGTCTCATTTAATAATGAGGGGACTATAATGAGGCACAATTGTCAATTTTGAAAAATTTTAACCCCTCCTGGCCAAGCATGGTATGGCATACTTGAACTACTTTATTGAAGACTGAGTTCATAGAAACATAGTCATCGCAATTGACTGGAGGTAATTTTGCTTACAAATAATCAATCAACAAAGAAAAACAGTACAGTTTATAATCTGTATACACAATATTTTTAAAGAGCATTTAACATGTAGTCACATGGACTTCTTTTGTCTTAGCGTATGCCACTATAGCATACACTAAAAAATGCACTGTATTCTGCAAACTATGGGTTAGTCAAGGCAGATTGGAAATACTTGTACAGTACTTACATATATGAGATATTTGAGCTTCTTCTTCAGTGCCATATACTGCGCCCTGTAGTTAGGTTCAGGTTCAGGATCACTACTACTGTCTGAAGAATATTCTTTGTGAGAATCACGCGCCTGTGGAGGCTCTGGTGGCGCGTTATTGCTCACACTAGCCTCATTGGCTTGCATGTTTGCTATAGAGCGGCAGTACCACCCGTCTAGCATTTTCTGTAAAGAATGATATTATAAGATATACCAAAAGCTTGATGATGTTTTAAGTTTGATCCAGTACCTATATTTGACTGAAACAATATGTTTTTCCGTAAATTATTAATTTATTTTAGATTGTATGTACAATAAAAATTACCTTGGAATAATTTTCTGACGCCAGTATAAATATAGTAAAAAACTTCAGAGAAAAATATGTTATATCTCTACTAAGAGACCTGTTTCAAACTTATTCTGTTATTACAAGTTGCCCTGGCTAGATATAGTCTGCTATACCTAGTTAATAACACTTGTAAATCTAAGGTTATTTGCTATTTCAATAACAAATCGTTTTGGATTTTCTTCATGTTTGACAACAAAGCTACCCTACCCTACTTGGCTTTTGGTCTTTCAAGTAATCAGAGAGAAGAGAGAAGAGACGAATAGAGAGTATTGCTTAAAATTATCTAGATACGCAGCGTGGCTTAGTAAATTGAATACCAGTTAGTATTTTTTATTGTGCATTAAAATTACACAATATGCAACTAAAGATTAAACTATTAATAATCAGTTACTCAATAAAAATCTAAACAAAAATTAAATGAGATTTCTCTTTTATATGGAAGGTTATAAAATTTATAATATGCGTGTATATATTTGTAATACCTATATCAATTCATTTTCGAAAAAACTAAAAAACTTGCAAGAATAGTTACAGCATTAAAAAAAATGTGAACGCTGTGAAAATGTCATTTCAGGAAGACGTCATTGATTGATTAGTAATTTTGACTTTTTGTCGCCAGATGTCTCTTTAGTCGTAGAACTAGAAAAATATTTCGATATTACGGATTTGTTCACAATAGGATGCGGGTTTGTAACCATTAGCGAAAAAATTGTTTTAAGTAAGTAAGCAGTGAAACTGTAATTATGTTTTTAGTTGTGTTTTTTAATGACGTTTTTCCTATGCTTCATCTATTATATAAACCCATTACATTGTGTAGACACAAGATTTTCTGAAGATGTGATAAGACACAGTGTACTTTAAATTTTGACGGGTTATATTGAATTTGGAAAACTTGTTAGTCCAAATTGAACCTTAAGTCTACCGCATGTGTTCTTTCAGCTGAGTGGAGCCGTGTTCGTTGCGGTCAATCTGAACCGGATTGATTCCTCGTGTTGTGATGGCTCTCGGTAGTGAAGTGCTTGATAACTCTCCAAAAAATGCTTCTCAAAAAGTGAAAAAATGCCCAGCGAACAATTCCGTGAATGACAAGACAAGCAGTGGCAATGCTAACAATGGTAAGTATTAAATGGTCATGCCCTCAGTTATGTAACATTGAGAACGGTTTTTAAAACTACTATCGTTTTCCATGTTAAAATAATTGCTTGCTCCTAATATGTGCATTTTGGTCATGTGACTTCATTGGTTAAATCATGTGATCCATTGATTTTTACGAAAACGCTATGCAATTTCATGACATGCGTACTAATGTTATTTCGTATATTCGTGTGCAATATTTATAAAATAAATGTATGCGATTGGTTTTGTCCCTAGAGACTAGAGTACATGAGACCTTGGTGCACATCGTTTAAAAATGTAAATTATTACACAACTTCTCATTAGGTTACATAGTTAGGTACTGTTCATACAAAGTGTTTAAGATTTTGTATTGAAATAACAATAAGCATAGAATTCAATACTGCCATTCGTAATCTGACATGTTATTAGTTAAATGAAATTGAAAAATAGTTTAATTATTGTTCCAATCAATATAATTATATTAAATAATTATGTAGAATGAACAATGCTGTTCTAGGTTGAATTTTTTTATAATATACTACAAGAGTAATTAATTCGTTCTAAATAATATTTTACTCTAGTTTGGGATGACCTATAATGACCTCCAATAATTATTATGTTATTTCCATTATTCAAAATCAATATTATTATAATTTTTCTTTGCAATACAAACTTTATAATTGAATCCCTAAATTGTATTCTGTGCTCAAATATTTTCAAAGCATTATAAATTTAATGCTTGTGAGATGAGAATTTAAAATAAAAAAATAAATAAATTGTCTTTGTTAAGTAACTTATTATAAAACTATTAAAGGAACAGAGACAGACACCTATTGCTTTATAGGTATTGTCTTTGTTAAGTAACTTCTTATAAAACTATTAAAGGAACAGAGACAGACACCTATTGCTTTATAGGTATATAAAAAAATTGCATTACTTATTTTTTTTTAATTAAAGATCAATATCTGGCAATATAAGCTATATAAAGTAATAATTTTATTTTTGTAACAGTATAGATAATACAAGTATTATAGTTAGTTATAGTTTCAGTTACTGACCTCACCTAGTTCTGTGAAGACGCTGGGTTATCATGTTTTGTATGTTCATTGCTTTAAGGGCAAGTTTGTCACTTATTGCATTGGTTTTATACAATATACTCTGGCTGAATAATTTGTTGCCTATGTCTCTTAACTTATTCCAACACCAATAAGTATTAAAAAAACCTTGTCCACATTGCATTTCAGTAAGAAAACAATAAAAAATAACACACAAATTGATATAAAATGTAATATAGGTACCTACTTCTTGTATTGTATTAATCTTAATGGCTATTTTAGCCTAGTTATTTGATAAAATAATTTGTTTAGTGTGCACAGTTAAAGGTGGATACTTTAGTTGATAGTAATTTATTCTAATAACTATGAAGCTTATGCATTAGGCACCCATATTTGAGAAATGCATTAAACAGAATAATGTTTTTTGTTACCTTCTACTTTTTAATATATTCTTAGAACATTTTATGTAGATAATGCCATTTTTACACCTCATAAAAGGAGTTTACAATACTTGATGCCTATTAGCTACACACCAATAATATGTTATCCCAAATATAATATTTTTCCTTACAAAAGTATTTATGTTAGGTACTGACAAACTATTTCACAACTTTTTTCACCAAGCAAACAAATCCTCTCAGCTTACCATAATTAATTGTGTACCTATGAAACCTGTATGAACTCTCATTATGCATATACATCTTATAATGTTAAAGTTGTCTTAAGCTGTATCTTACCAAGCATTTGTAAATGTCATGGTTTTTCATAAGCCTCTCAACTTTTACATCATACATCACTATAATATACTTACCTACTAAAGGTCTTATTCATTAGTCAACATTCAATTAGGGAAGCCCTATATAACAATGATCTCGATTGCTGTAATTGATGTAAGGAATACTTAGCTATATAAACCATTAGGGTGTGGTTTGTACGTATTAAAATGATACGCCATATCGCCAAATGATGGAATATTATGCTTTCGACGTAAGTATTGACCTGTTTTTCTATTCAGTGTTTTTTTATATATAAAAGTTATCTACATAGATAACGTTTATCGTAAATGTTGACGGAGAACATTGCTGAGATATATTTAGGTACATACTACTCATAAATAAATAGGCGAATTTTTTACTCGGCGTGCATAGTGATACACTGACGTTAAAGAATTCAAGGGGAGCAATTACTGCAGGAGTAAATATTTAGTTCCATTAAAATGTCCTAAATAAATTCTCAAATTTTACTGCATTTAGACGAAAGTCCCTGTTAAAAAACTAGTTTAAAATAAGTCAAGCTCGTTCGTACGGTTGACCGCGCGCTAGTACCTTAGCAGGTACCGAAACACTCTTGGGCAACGAGTAGCTTAGCGCTTTACTGCTACGAAACTGGACCTTCAATGTCAAATTGTTACCATGCGGACGCTTGGTTATGAATCAAAGCAGTCGTAGTAAAAAATGCATATAATAATAACGTCAATGTTCAAAACATACGAGCAACCTTGGATAGAACTCAGCTGGTCATTGTAATATTATGTATTATCTAAAAATGTAGAAAAAGTTGAAAGCATGAGAAGGAAGCATGAGCCTTACGTTTTTTCTATAGTCAGGTGCATAAAAATATGCGATCTATAAGCAATACATGTAAGCTTGCAGCGTAAAATGAGTTCGAAATGGACCAGACACAGACTGCCATTAAAGTATGAATAATTTCAACCATCTAAAACAATAGTTGAAATTACTGATTTGTAACTCGGTTCAGCATTCCAGCTACTTCTGTCCGAAATGTATGTTGACGAATGATGCTTTTATAAATATATTTTTTTTTCATTCAAATGTTTGTACCTCCCCTAGAGCTGTCTGTCGTCATGTTAATTTAGAGAAAAAAAAAACTGTGAGCACCACTTGTTTCGAAAGTATGAAACACGTGTGTATATCATGTGTTGCCTGTTACATGACAGGTTATCCTAGCAGTAATTAATTTGTCTTCCCTTTCAAGCATCCATGACATAACATTTGCATCTAACGATAGCTATATCAATCAATGAATTTATGAACAGCGTGCCTGCCAAGCAATTTATTCTTGCTTCGTCTATGGGGTTACGAGGTTAAAAAACATCTAGAACGTTAGATATTGAAGTTTGCTAGCCATGTACTTTTTGCAGATACGATGTAAAGTTAAGTGAGTATGGCATGTCTATGATTGATACATCGAAAGTACATAAACGGTTCTGATAACATTTTATGTGATGTGATTTCTGTTCGAAAGATAAGAATGGTTGTCGGGTAGCGGTCGTGATAGGTATGATATGATGATGCAAAGCTGCTATTATTACGCAACGCAGTTCTAAGTCTTTTATGTAATTAATTATTGAATTATATGTAGGTGCCTAGATAACACAACGCATTATTCATGCACTTCTGATGTTTAAAAAGGCGCTCTTTATCCGTTATCCCTTGATGCAGAAAATACACACCAACTCAATATTCTAAGTTATTTTCTTGATACACGATACTAAACCATAAGTCAACTGAGACAGGGTTGAGATTAAAATAAAATGACGTTGGAAACCGTTTAGTTTAGTGATAATACGTATCCGGTTACGGAATTTGTAAGTCACCGTAAACGTTGTCGTGAGCTCCTAATTTGAAGCAACGCGTTGCTCAATAATAGCGTAGCCTCGTTGCACCATTGTTGACCCGAATGTCGCTTGTATTTGTTTAAATATCACCTCGAACTTATATTATCTGCGGTCATTTTTGGTGTACTTAAACTTAAAGGGGTTCAGCGGCGTAAAAAGTAATTAATAAGTAATTAAAAGCATCAGTAATTGTGTTTATGGTCATTTAATAAAATGGATCCAAGTTTAAATTGTTCGCTTACTGAAATGAAATGGTTCCGTTCCATTTAGTTTTGTATGAACCGAAATACTTGAGTGGCCTACTCACTAAAATGAGCGAAAGGAATCGAATAATTTCGAGTTCACAATTTACGTGGAAGAGGTTTCTATTAGGGGTATCCTGTCTGGAAATTTATTGACATAACATATGTTTATATTCATGAGCATACCTCTATAGTGCCTTGTGCTCACCCCTATAAATTTATTGATCCTTAGTCACAACTTCAACAGAAGC